CCACTTCTCAATGTCTTCTTCGATGAGTTACTGCCTCACATCACAATGTACTTCCGAAGAGTTCGAAACTAGGACAAAACGGCTGTCCAGCACTCCCAGCTTGTTTTCCAATGGTTTTCTAACCAACTTCAGCTCACGTGGAAATCCTCCAACCAGCCAAACAAGAAATCCTTACAAAACCATTACTTCAACAATTGATCTGATGCTCACTAGCGACTGCCTCTATTCAGGAAGTTACCTGGCGTTTTAGTGGGAATTCGTGACCAGTTGGGTGCAGCAGGTCGAAGGTGGGGCAATAACTCATTGAAGACATTATGAAGTAGTCGCATGTCATGAATTGGCGATAGTTAGAATTCATGGGGCTGGTCATTGGATCGGATCCCAGTGGCTTAATGGTCTACTAGCTAGCTGGCTGGCCCTGTAACCGGAAGGTTTTGGGTTTGAATCCTGGCGCTGGGTGCGTACTGATTAAGGGTCCCAAAGTAGGACGAAATAGCTGTGCAGTACTCTCAAGTTTTTCAATGGTTCTCTAACTAGTGTCAGCTCATGATGAAATCCTGTAATTCACCTGTAAGTCTTCGAGTGTATGTTACATTGAACATAAATCGACCACGAAATCCACATCTTTATAGAGTCTTCTCATTGGTGGTCCAGCGTATTCCTGTCTTTCCATTGCCCACAGTCTTCCACACATTCTATTCCACCACAATTAGGAATAATATAGATGATGACAGGCAGCCAGCCTTGTCTAACTCCCGTATTCACCTCAAACGCTTCACTGAGTTTTCTGTTGTGGATCACCTATCACGTAGCATTGTCGCTTGATCACTAGACAGTAACTAATTAATACCCCGCGGTCTAGTCTTTGGTATCGACGACAAGATTGAAATTTATCAGTATTCAAGTGAACTTAATTGCATAAAACTGTATATCCCTACTCATTGATTGAGATCAGTAGTTGTAGGCCACTACTCAAATCAACCAGTAAGTGATTGCTAGCCAACCAGATCGAAGTGACCTAAATACAGGACAGTCGCTTCACTAGTTTGGAGGTGACCTGGTCATCACCACTTTACCCGGTTTCAAGCAAATCAGAGAGACAAATCAGTGTTCAAACTACCAGATTTCATTTGAATTATTTTGCAATCGGATTAAATTAAGAAAGAAACTATGTAGTTTGCACAATCATCGTGTTTTCACTCTCCGTTGTTTGCAACAAAATGCATATCCTAAGTCCGTAGCTATCGAGTCACTTGACAAATCCTGTAGGTCGAATGAAGCAGCTCAATATCTTCAGAAAGAAGACAAAGCAATAAGTTCGATAGAGTGCTTTAACTAAACTCTAATCCTAAACACCATAATTTTGAAAATACATCTAATCATAAAACTCTAGATACTAACAGTCTGAACAGACATGAAGGTGTGATGTTAGCTGATGTATAAGAATTCCTGATTAATAAATAAGAATGGATATGTATCTCTAATTAATAATACTTGGTCAAAGTTCCCGACTGTCTATATATTCTTATGGAGACGTTAAGAAATTGTTATACAATTATTTACCCACACACACATACACACTCTGCTTAAAGTGTTATTTTTTTTATTACAGATTGATTCCACACCGTATTTTTGGTACAAGTATGGAATTTTCAGCATGGATATCGATAGGCCAAATTTTGCAGGCCGACCATAGATATGAGGTGTGCGTCGGCAGGGGATCGAACCTCGGACCATATGCATGGTCGGCGAGTCCTAACCACTGTGCCACCGACGCAAATATTCTCTCACTTTGTGTGCTCTATGGAGTATGGCAGCTTGATCTGATGCACGTCTATGCAAAGTCCTACGTTGAAACCAATCAGTCAGTCTATTAGTCAAGTCTGTGATGTAACTCGTTATCACAGTGAACTCAGAATTGTTGCTACTAGATGCTTGGAGGCAATTGGCTACAGGAAGCCTTGAACTCAGGTTTCGTGATTGTTGCCAGTCGTCAACAAGGCGTGATCGCAATCTTGAAGGAACCTCCATCCCTTCTGAGATTCCAACCCCGAGTCACTCAGTGCGCTTCGGTAAGACCTCTTCGACCTCGCGACTAACCTCCTACACACAATTGCATATGCAACTAGTTTTTTTTGTGCCTAATTGACAATTACAACTTATGGAAATTTAGACAACTAGAGATGACGCGTTTTTTTTGACAATTGAGGTAACTGAAGCTACACCGCAATATACAACAATTCACGTTTCAATCTCAACGGATGTACACGTCATGAATGATTGAAAGACCTGAGTTGTTCGTCCAGCCAGCCACATAGATTATTCGCATTTCCACTTATTTTTTTCTTTTCAAAAATACTAAGCATCACAAACACACCTGCATAAAATTGATCTGATTTTTATGCACCAACAGAAATAAACTTGTTCTAAAGACTAATTAGCTGTTATTTCCCTGTCCTTATGAAAACAAAATATCACACACGGAACTTGTTTTACTCTTCTTCAGAATTATAAACAATTCTCTAGTGAATTCGTGTAGACCATAGGACTTTGTAAATATTCCCATAATCAGAAAATTATTTTCTTCAAATTAAGTTTTCTTCTTTTGTTATACACCAACAGAAGGTGGTAATCTTGATCAAGACGACAGTCAGTCAGTTGTGATACACACACTGAGATAAGCTGAGAAATACTAAAAATACAATTCGAATGATTCTATATCGATGATGATTGTGATGGTGGATACCTCTCACGAGCAACTGTTTTAAGCCAATATTGAGTTTAACAATCAATAATAGAAATCTAAAAATCAATCATTTGTAGAAATGATTCATCGCAATCTACGAATGTTTGGCATGCGATTCGCTCCTGCTGTCAAATGTAAGATGATTTTACAGGACTACACTGACTCCAAGTTTAGAAATAAGCAGTGAAGTGGTAGAGCACGCTGACCGCTTCACTTATTCGGGAAGTTGCGTCAATTAACACCAGCGGGTTGGTCGCTGACGAATCCTCAGCACGGGTACAGAGGGCTAGTTTCGCATATGCCAGTTTACGCCCTCTCCAGCGTAGACGTGATATCCGCCTGTCGACCAAATGGCGTGTGTACTGCTCATCAGTCCGCTCCATCCTCCTTTATGGCTATGAGGGAGACCTGGCCATTGAGAGTGGAAGACATGAAAAGATTAGCTGTCTTCGATCATATGTGCCTGCGTTCTATCTCCTGTGTGAAGTGGTATAATCGGGTGAGCGATATCGAGGTCAGAAGGGAAAATTAACAGACGAGACTGTGCAATTACATCGATTGAGATGGTTGGGACATGTGTTATGTAAGCAGGCCTAGCCATCGTCTTCCTCGAAGGGCAATGTTAGCTGACATATGGTCAGGCTGGAGAAGAGCTTGCGGCAGTCAAATCAAAACATGGCACCAGTCAATGAAATCTACAACAGTTAGTTTAAGCCACGTAGTGCAGACTTCCTGGTTGGAGTCCTCGGGATGGTAAAAACAAATGGCTGGAGACAATCGGTGATATGGCTCAGAATCGTTCTCACTGGCTGGCGTAGATGCATCCACTCCTTGTGACCTATGATTTCAAATGAAACTATATTGTTCTTCGTTATTACTATTCCTTCGTCTCTCACCTCTGTTTAGTGTCTCTATTATGCATTTCTTCTACTTTCTTCTCTTGCCTTGTGTGCTACATGGAGGATGGCGACTTGAACTGCAGCACATTTGTGCAAAGTTCTATGTCAAAAAAAGATAAACAGATTCATCGCAGTCTGTGTCTACTTCTAGTATATTCATAAATATGCATACGCTTATAATAATAAAAACTCAACAAGAAACTCAAATGTATACTCATACTCATTTGCAGATGATTTAAAGTTTTCACTAACTGGTGTAGTTACACTTTAAGCACCATAAAGTACCACAGGATGCCGACCTCACTAATAACCTTAGAATGCTCATGCAATCAGTTGACGGGACCAGGGAAATATCACTATAGTCATGAACGAAAACGGGGTATCTGGTAAGTTTTAGGTTAGGCTTGGGAAAGATTAACTGAAAGTTAATGCTAAGGGAAGGTTAAGGCTAGGTAACCGTTATAATAGAAAATATTATGGTTAGTTCGAGTTCGGGTTAGCATTAGAACACCTAAATGAATACATGTATTAAGCGCGCTTTTATACTCTAATAACAATCCAATGAAAAACTGAGAGGCATTTTTATCATATGTTAGAGAAAGGTATCCAGTTTAATAGTTTCATATCTTCTTTTTGACCATTATTTTCATACATGTATGTATGTATTTTATACACAAAAAATCACGTTCTAGGTCATTCGTCCAGTGCTACATTTTGGTGGCTAACTTCACTCAACTTCACCTGAGTATTTTATTGAATTTCAGATTTTCCCGTCGACTGGTTGCACTGAAGTGCTCGGTTTCAGGTTGGCAATGTCGACTTCTTGTGCAGATGCTTTCAATCAATCAACAAGAAAAAAAATCAAAAATTCAATTAAATAAATTATTATGATCCGTTGCACAAGAGGTAGCTCTCGTAGTCCCAAGTGGTCTAGAGGATAACGCTTTGTCGTTTGAAACTGTGGACACTGGGTTCAAGCCCCGGTAGGAACATCATCATTCACTGGGGAATGCAAGTACACCTAGATGACGAGTCCCAAGTAGGACGAAACGCGCACCCTGGATTCGACTGCTAGTCACCACCACCACCACCCACCAATTAAATTCGCCTGAGTACATTTGTTGTTTGAGTCCAACTCGCCGGAAACTAAAAGCAACATTCATCGTGATGGCCGATGATACCACTACTACTACTGCTACTCAGTTACCCAGCCAGGTTGAAGTAGCTGGAGACTGGGACTCGAACCCATGATCCATTGGCTAAAAAAAAACCCTAGTGGTTACGCAGATACGCCACACCGCCATAATAAAAATGATAATAAACAGTCTTCTCCATCTAAAAATTAACTAACAAAATCCCATACTTATATATATGTATATTTGTTTACGATCATTAAAACCAGTGACGAGTACCGTGTAAACATCATAAAATAACCGAAACTATTTACTATTTACTCCAACGCTATGTATATATATAAGCTAGATGCAAAATTTGATAACGCTCAAAAAAACACGCATGTAAAAATACGGTCGAAACATTGAGATTAAAAGACAACTAACTAACTAATTGGATAGTTGTCATGAAAAAGCTCAGATAAATGACGCTTTATGAATGAATGAGATATCTGAATTTCAAAGTGATTTAGGTAAAATGACTTGAACATTAAACGAATTATTTTTTTTGTTGATAATAACATACTATTAGTTGATAGAAGAAATCAAGTGAAGTGTATAGATTGAACAGATATGTAGTTTTATTTGACAAAAGTGTTTAATCCTTTTCCAGTTTTCCAACGATCAGACTTTAAACATAAACAGATAAAGATCTTACAGTTAAATATTTGACACAAAATGGTCACTGGAATAACAATAATGCATCACAGGATGATTATGATGATAATAATAATAGTAACGACAATTATCACACATGTTTAACGGAGGTATTTTGAAGCTAAAATTTGTAGTGTTCGCTAAATTTGATCACACCACACTTTTGATGTATAGGTGATGTATGGAGAGCGATTTTGGCGCTAGGTTCGAACATAAAACAGTATGAACACTGGCCAGAGTATCACTGAACAGCTTCGTTTTCAGATGTCCATAACTAAAAAATAAATAGGTTTATTAATAAGAAAAAAATGATTAACTTACAGTCAGATTATCACGAAGCAATTGCATCACTAGTGTACTGTCCTTGTAGGCATCATTGTCTGACATTGTTTGATCTAACTGTCCAATAGCTTCGTCGAATGCAGTTTGAGCCAGATTACACGCCTTTTTTGAGTCGTTTTCAATCTCGTAATAAAATACAGAAAAATTCAGAGCTAAACCTAAACGTATTGGATGTGTAGGAGGAAGCTCTTTGGCGGCTTTTTCTGTTGCAGCCTCATAAGCTTCTTTCGAATTTTTTACAACTTCGTTTCGTTCGTCGCCAGTTTGAACTTCAGCCAAATATCGATAGTAATCACCCTTCATTTTTTGATAAAATACAAAGCCTTCTGGAGTTTTCTCATTGCTGATAAGAGTTTTGGTTAATATATCCTGAGAGGATAATTATATGTGAAAATTCTAAAACTTACTAAGACTTCATTGCAAACAGCATTTAATTCCTTTTCAATAATTTTACGGTAGTCCTCAGCTTGTTTCTTCTTATTACCCTCCAATCTTTGCTCTACGTTTGAAACGACACGCCAAGATGATCTTCGTGAACCAACCACATTTTTATAGGCAACTGAAAATAGGTTCCTTTCCTCGTTACTAAGTTCTTTCGAGACCTCAGTAACTTTTTTCATAGCGCATGCCATATCATTGAATCGTTCAGCCTGCTCTGCAAGTTTAGCTAAGTGAATTAGCATTTCCTTGTCAGTTATGTTAGAACGATTAACCCAGGAATCATCACACATGTTTACGATTACAGAAGTACCCTGGAAATTTGCTAAAGATTTAGTAGAATATCTGTATTTGGAAGCACAAAGGAGCGCTGATTGAGTTTAACCACCTAAAATTTGAACCCAACACATACTTAGTTAGAACACACACGAACCAACAAGACATTTAAGATGGTTCGCATAAAGAGAAAGAGTAAAATCAATTTCCTATGGAAGAGGACTACTTACCAAAAGATTCAATACATAAAATACCTCATTCGTAATAAATGAATAATTTTTGATACGAAATGGCTTTCAACCAACTCGTTTTGGAGACAAAAGATGTATCCAATAGGAATCTACACCCATTTTTCGTTATCATACTGATGAACTAAAAATAGTTGTTAACAAAATGAATCTAGATGCTCATGCAAGTCCTGTGGAAGTAAACCTCAGGCTGAACTACAGGCAAAAAATATTTCGGCAGTAACTGGCAAAGCGTTTACTTATACGTTGCCACTTTCCTTTAAAACTATTATTAGGGTGCGTATTACATGTAATTCAAATTACGAAAGAACCAGTTGTTGAAACTGTAACAGTAGAATCCTCAAATGATAAAATATGTGAAACCTTATGTATTAATTCCCATTTGCGAAGTGAGAGCTTTAGAGACTCAGTGAAAAATAAAACGACAATGGTCTAACCATTGGTAGTGACTTCAATATAAGTAACAATATAGTGAAAATACCCAACAGGTTTTGGGCACATGCGTTAATAAGACATTTATGCTAACAGTAAGTGACATCAATTTACCAAAAGCAAAACTAACACCTGGATAGGCGAGTTGCTAAAATCACTAACCAATAGTGGTTGCCAGGTTAACAGTGCGCACTTGCAGTTCGACAGAGAAAAACCGCCAAATGAAGCATTTAAACAATTAGTCCCATATTTCACTGCCAAGACTATTATGTCAAATCCCTTTGGTGAGTTTTCTTATACGCATCTTACTTCTCTTCATAGCTCTTTATAAGAACATGCTGCCGCCCGTTTTGGATTTGATTTACATTAACTTCATAATATACCACCGGCTATTATACCTTTGAATTTCAGAAAAAATGGAGAAACACAACAAACCAATACCGTTCTTTTCGATTACGCTATGACCAGCTAGTGTTATTTCTCTTTTTTATGGGGTTTGGGGCCCAGGATCACTGTCATTTTGCCAAACACTTGGAGTAATTCTAGGGAGCTATCTGTTTATGCTGTGACTGTAAAAATTGAGAAACTGTGTACTTCATTATCGTGATATGACGGTGTTCCTTTCTTTTAGGTTGAATGCGGTGACTAATTTTCAGAGGGTGTAGATGGACCGAGAATAAATGATCAAGCACTGAACTTGTGCCCTGAATCTTCAAGCTTAAATCTGTATTTATTTTCGTTATAATCATACACCTTTTGCTTCTCTTCCAGGTTTCGTGTTCTTTCTTGTGTGCTTCACTGTGTCTCGTCTGTTGGTTCATCAATGTGTGATCTTTCTTATTTTACAGGTGTGCAGGGTGTCACAACTTCAGCGTCACCAAGAACCCCATTTTCGATCAAAATGAGCCACCTGCAGGATTCTCACTACATCCAAAGTCGTTGCGCACGCATCATCGATACATGCCCCTGTCCAGAGCTGACAGTCGTCAGCTGATCATGAAATCCTTATGCAGTGTAAGCTTACCTATTTTCGACCGCATGATCATTATCTGCAGACATTATTAGCCATCGGTGATAACTTCGGGGGAATATGGGTAGGTCAGAAGCGAAATATTTTGAACGGATGCTCCGAGTCAAATAAAAACTCTTTTGTCCATATGAATTCATTCCTGAGCAACTATCAGCAACCAGATAAGGAGGCCTCAGGTTATGACAAATTTAATCCGAGGCCTTCTCCACACTGCTCAATACTAGCAGAAAAAAATTCCTTTGCTCCTGCTCAGCACAATATCTTCAAGAGAGCTGTTTAAAATCTTATCTGTAATGCAGTACACGGCGGTATCAGTCCCGCGGAAAGTTTTTATTACAGTTTAGAAAACTTCTTTTAACATGATACCACAGTATGCAACCCCAGTGAAAACTGAGTGATGTATGTGGGTCGATTGGCAGACCATGTGTCAATGGAGATGAACACTGAACGGTTGTTTTCGGAACTGGTAGACATTGGTGGGCAACTCGAAGGCGCGAATGGTTCGATCGTGTACAAGTTCGACGAAGTCGACCGAAAACGAATAAAAGTACTTCATAATTTTTTCTAAAATATTTGTTTATAGAATTTACTGTTCTCCGCATTGATTGCCAAACAAAATACCTTCCTTCTCACAGTACTGGTGTTTTTGAGTTAAAGCCGAAGAAAGTACATAGTGTTTATCGGTGTGGAGCGTCTTCGTAACAATAGGAACTTAGGGATAAGTTCCTTGACACCATGTTTGATCTATCTTAGGAATTTGGAAGACGAAACGCCTCGTATCATCTCCAGGGGGTTGCTTTGGTAGAGTTTACAAACACAACGATCAAAGCAGTACTTCCTGCCATCGTAAGTCGCACATCTACCCATCGCTGCAGCGAAGCTCCACCAAAATACCCGCATACGTGAAATCTACACACTCATAGACTGGCTTTTCTCATGCTCGTCTTAATTTCAGTCATGAGTTAATTTTACATCATGAAGCCTAGACGCCACTTCTCCACTAAGAGATCATGGAGTACAATCAACATCTTCGGAGGCCTTGAAGTAATATAGCAGCCTGTCAATCAGGTCTCGTAAACCGCTAATGCCCAGCTCTTGATACGCCAGGCCTCTCGCTGTCCCTCGAAGACTTTCAGAAACGCTTAGTAATAACGGACGCGAAAGCCAGAACAAGGATTGGCGACTCGAGAATTCTTTATTCTAACACCAACATATAAGCAGCATAATAAACTAGGGTTTCTGACGGTTTTTCTACGTTCTTTCTAAACAGCGATCGATGAGACGATGACCGGCTGATTGATGCCTCCGCGAAAATTGGGGAAGTTGGTTTTGAGCAAACAACCATGAGTTGATCGTTCAATCTTCAACTACACTGACACTCCCTGGCAAAACACAGATCCATCCATTTTTCCATCACGACCAATACACGTTGACTTGGATGCCATTGCGAGAACCTGAGTCACACGGACAGAGCTGAAATGGAAAACAAACAGAAAGGCCAACACACCACAAGCATACCCACAGCACAATCTCACACATCGATGACGACCTGCGCCTCCAGACAGAGACCTCCTCTTGACATCTTGCAACACAGTCTCCATTTGCTAGAATGACTCCTGCAGAATGCAACGTGACCATAGCAGCACCTCACGATACTCTACGCACATCCTCTTGTCTACTCACTACCAATTACCACTGCAATCGCTTGTCACTCATTCTGCCTCAGTTCTAGTAACGGTGACGCATGCGAGCCTCAGTCTCCTACACTCTCGCTCCCCGGCGTGTGGGACCACAACTAATCCTTCCCTCTGTGTGCATGCCATTCTCAGCACTGCCCTAGCCTCCCTGGCGTATACGACCCAACTTCTGTCTTTAACGTCAGTCAATTCATTCACGGATGTAGAAGACTTGAAACAACTTCAGAAGTAATCACGACGAAAAATTAAAAAATATTATGCAATAACAACAAGATACGAAAACAACAAATAAACACAGGGATTCCAATTGAAATAACGCAACACACATATGTACAAACAGTATAAATAACCTTACCGATCGTGTCGCGATGTGATTCCTTTGAAGAATTGCAGGACTTACACCAATACGCTTCCAACCCTCCACAGGTTGTCAAATCGTAAGATGAATAATGTCCGGATACAAAAAAATACCAACACAGAGATCAGAGATGAAACCAATTCAGTATATACAATATGAACATATGTACAAAATCACACACCAAGCACGTCGGGCTGCTCATTGATGCGCTACCCTTTGAAGAATTGTAGGACTTACAGCAGTACGCCTACAACCCTTCTCAGGTTGACGCCCTAGGTTGGAAAGTCGTTGCAGAGTTCATTTGCTGACTTCCCTCTATCAGCTATATCCTCAAATCTGAACGGTAACACGCTCATGTCATTGTATCGTGAAATATAGATGACTAACAAATATACAACGTATCTGATCAACCAAGCGTAGGCACAGATTAATTTACACCAAAGATAATAGCATTCAAATAGTAACTTGGAACTTGTAAAACCTTTATTCATGCAAGTCAATTTAACAATTACTCTCTCGTTTACACTTGGCTTATCCTCACTAAACTGACCAATATCTTTCGTCTTTTCAAGTGCACCAATACTATCATAGTCATTGCACAAGATACTTGAGTTGATGGGCATCTGTTTCATTGTGGATGACAACACCAACGACGACTGATTAATATCAGTTGATGAACTTAGCAGTGGATCAAAAGCTGTTGTTGCTCGACTTTCAGAAATTTGTCTACCTGCAAGACCACCACCACTGCTGTCTTGTACTATCAGCTCCGGTTTAGAACTAGCATCTGATGATAGGTGGGCTACACGCTGATCAATTACACTGACGGTTTGACAAGTATGCATGCATGTTCACGTTCAAGTTGTACAGAACCTTTATTTAACTTAGTAGTAGTAGGCATTCCCACCATTTCATCATGATTAACCAAAGACAAATCCGCACTATCATGATCATTATCATGAATATTCCCTTTACCGTCAAGTTCCTCATTTTGAATCTCTTTAATAACAGAAGTGGATGATTTGGGTTCCTCCTCACAAATCCTTTGAGTTTATATATCTTCACTCTGACTAGTAAAACTTTGTCAACTTGTGGATTCATAACTGCACTCTGAAGCAATAACTCCATTCTGTGACACTCTATTAAACAATGGCTTACCAGTTGCAACTACAGACTTCTTGACCACACCGTTATCGTCACACAATTCGGAGTCAGGCCTGGAGTTTACATTTAGCTTATCACTGAACTTGCTCACTTCTTCAAAGTTCACTAGTGTATGCATGGCTTGCAAACGTGTAAAACACAACCGTGTTTGTCTTGCATCTTGCAACTTATCTGTTGAGGATGTACTACGAAACCTGTTACACTCACTAATAATAATAATAATAATGTATATTCTCATATAAACATACAAATTTACATGAAAATGCATGCCATTTTTACAGGCACGATCAAGTATGATATAATATCAAATCGTAGATTGTCTACAAGTTAATAATGTTTCAACAGTTAAATATTTGATATATATATATATATAAATACACATTGTCTGAACTAGGCTGTATAGCTATTGAATTGTACAATTGTTCTCCAGGTTGAGCGGGAAAATCGACTTCGTTTCGTTTTCATCCCGTGGTTGTCGGCATGCGATAACCAACCAATATTGAGGTAAGTACAACGTTTACAAGGGATTGAAAGCTGTTTTAGAAAAATTAAAGTGCTAAGGTGAATCATTAAATTGTAATGAAATAGGTAAGTGCAAGTATCAAAATTAAAGAAAACTCCCTAGGCTGACAACGTTCATTTGCAATGTATAATGCTACACGTATATCTCGTACTATCATGATGTCCACTTTTGGTTTTAATACATTTATCCTCAGTTGTGCCAGTTGTTTTTGTTTTATACCTTTTTGTGCATTTAGTGCACAACCGTACCCTTCAGAGAGTAGGAATATAATAAGTCATAAAGAGCTGTAAAATGTTAGGTTTAATGGGATATAATGAGGATCAAGTAAAGACGTTATTGGAAAATGAATGAGATAAGACATTGTGAAGTGGTATTTAAAGATCAGACAATGGACAGCAAGTTAGTTTATAAGATGCCCCATAAATCTGTGCAGATCCCGCGTGGTCGCGTC